AAATCCAAATGCTGATCAGTAATCTCTTTTTCTGCCAACTTTTCATCGAGCCATTCAGTCATATAAGCAACTCCATTTAAATCAAGTTGCACCCGTGTACGGGTAGCTGGTTCCATTGCCGTTATTAAAAACAATAATTTCATATCAAAAAACTCTACAGAAGACGGGTGTTGTACTGATGAAGCGACACGTTTAAGAATAGCGTCTGTGATATTTGATTTAACACACTGACGACGGCGATCTGCACATTGGAATACTAAATTGCACAAACATTTAAGGGACTCAACGACGATTTGCGTTGTGTTATCACTCCAATGCAAAGTAACATCTTGAACTACTGCTCCATCAACATCTAAGTCACCTTCTTTGCGAGCAACTGAATCTGATTCTTCAACGGCTTCAGGATGTTCCAGATGAGCCAATTTAAGGAGGCACAACACATCTTCCTCTAAATCTTCTGCCTGCAGACTACACTTGTCACGCGTTAAGATACGAACGCTATTTAGAGTTAGAGAGTGTAGACCTACTAAATTATCATCTTTAAGTATATCAAACAGTGTGCGCCACATAGCGTGCCAGCACCCATCTACATGGAACATTGAAAAATCAAAAAGGTCGTCATTCTGAAAAGTATGAATGGTTTAAATTGTTTGTTGATACATACGTACACATGTACATATGCATGTACACAATTTTCTTACGTACTTTCGAGTTAAATTCAGTTAAGACAGATTTGATTTCATCTGGATTTTTGCCACGCAATTGCTCTAATTTCTGCTCCTCCATTTTTTAGTTATAATCGCCGATATCCTTACCAAATTGGATTAGAATTTTCACGAATATATTCACATCGATTGACGTTTTACATGGTGGAATAATAACAAGGTATTGTCAGTAGCGACATGTTTGTTGTAATTTTGACTTCTTCTTCTGGCTGCTTCTTTCAGTGCTGCCAATCATAATTTTTATCTACAATTTTTTGGGAAATAGTATCCACTTTAGTAACTTGTTTTATCGCGTTATTTTAATAACTTGGTGTTTTTAGAACGAAATTAACACTGAAAATTTCTGGATTTGTATAAATTTTTACTACAAATGTAAAAAAATAAAATATATCGTGGTTATCAATGGAAAATCGTACACAAAAATCGTATGGAAAGTCGATTACGTTTATTTGAATTAAATTTTGCTGCATTGTCAGTTTTTTCGATTATTTATCGAAGTGGAAGTCATATTTTATCATGTTTAATACGCCATATCGGATTTATTGTTAATTGGCTGACCAAAATAAAATAAGCATGGAACTAATAGGCTGTTAATGAAAAGAAATTGAAGGAAAAGTATTTTGGTTTTGTATTTGTGCAGCAAAACTGTAAACAAAGGATGTAAGAAATGTCAACGAAAACACCAACAGTCGGTGTGAACAGCCTTCAGCCCACAATCCCAAAACTGGTTTTCAAGGTGTTTTCGTTGTCGGTCCGAACATGGTATTATGTATAAAAACAAAAACTATCGATAGTATTGGAAACTATCGACTGTAGTACGATAGTAAAAAACCATCGATAAAATCGATAGTGCCATCGATATTTTCAGACCACTAGTTGAAACACATGTGTCTATTTTTGATAGCATTTTTATTCAACAATCTCAGGAAACTTAAAAATTTATATCTTTGAAAGTTCCATTTAGCTGAGGAACATACAATGGAAGTTGAAAATATAAAAAACGACGATTTTTTGCCGCCATCAGGGTTGAAAAAGGCAACTAAACGGTCTGCAGATTATAATGAAACAATGCAGGTTGATGAAGAGTCCCCACTGCAGGAGACAAAACAAAGGATGCAAACCCCGCGCGCAAAACGCCAAAAAAGTGACGTTAGAAAAATCTCTGTTCCTCCACACAGGTAATTTTTATTTTCGTGGCATTTGACTTTAACCATACAATTACATTCTCGTCAGATATTCATCATTAAAGGAGCATTGGATGAAGATTTTTAGTCCTGTTGTAGAACATATGAAACTTCAAATACGTTTTAATATGAAGGCGAAACAAGTAAGTCCATACAAAAATTTCAATCCAAACTGGACAAGGCTTTGTCTTCCTTTAAAGCACTTCAGAATCGTATAAAACTAAAAGCTTTTCGAAAAATTAAAAAGGAAACACCGTTTGTTAAGAGCACTTTTGCACTTATTTAAAATTTCTTAAATTAAAAAACACCAAAAAAAATTCACACTATGATTGCTGTGAATATGGGCACATTAACTTAATATACAAGACTGCTCACTTAAATTAACTTATCGTAATTAGTTCCTCAAACTACTTTAAATTTATTTACGTTATTCCTTTGCACGATTATTAAAATTTTGGGTATATCGATTAATATAACAACTTTTTCTGGCGAACTCTGAAACTATAAATATTCTATGTCTTTTGTTTATATATCTAGGTTGAACTTCGAATTAGCCCTGAAACTCCAGATATATCAAACCTACAAAAAGGTGCCGACTTTGTCAAAGCATTTCTCTGTGGTTTCGAAGTGGATGACGCTTTGGCACTGCTGCGTTTAGAAGATTTATTCGTAGAAACATTTGAAGTGAAAGATGTGAAGACCCTGCGTGGCCACCACCTAAGTCGGGCTATAGGTCGATTGGCTGGTAAAGGAGGACG